AATCTCTGTTTAAAGTACAGAATTTATGCTGCATGTCTTTCAGAAAGCAGGGAGCTGAATTTATAGTCACGCACAACTCGGGAAGAGCTAATTGGAGGGAAGGGACTCACAGTAACAGACCTGAGGATGTCAATCACAGGCTGTGTGCTGGAACTCCCTCCCTTGTTACCCTTTTTATGTCTTGTGTCAGGAAAACTTGTCAGAAGTGATTCATGCTGATAGCAGTGGAACAAGACTTGTGAAAAGGGAAAGGCACCCTTTTGAAGGGCATAGTCCTTCTGTAAGATGCCTTCAAGGTCTAATTTGATATGTTGAAAACAACCTGAGTGGGGAAGGAAGAATTCTCTGCAGACTAACCTAGATGTTCATAACCCAGGGCAATAATTAAGAATAAACCTGGGCTGAGACCAGGAAATGATTTTCTAATACCAAAAGGTATGGATCCATATGTTGAAGTGACAGTAGGTACCAACCGTAAATTTTCTTGATCGTGATGTGACATAGATTGAACTGTAAAAAGAGTTGAAAATGAAGTGCCACCCCAATGCTTAGAGGTCCAGATACAACTTTATTCCATTAAAGTCAGGAGTACAATTCAAAAAGTAGCCAACCCATTTCATGGGTCTAAGTTTCCACTTCATCAGGGATTGACTGGAAACAAAGTGAACTGGACCTACTATGGTATTTTTTCCAGTGTGAATTAAAAGCACAGGCCTAATCAGCAGCTTGTTTGGTGGCCTGTGCCTGTCAAGCCTTGTTGAAGGGGGCACTTAGACCCCCGAAATGCGTTGGCTGCTTAGAATAAAGTTGTATCTGCACCTCTTAGAAGTGGTGTGGTGCTTCAATTTCAACTTTTTTTTTTTTCATCACACTATAAGCCAAGGAGACTGGAGATCCTCTGTGGTATAGTCGCAGGAACCAGATCTTTTACACCAACATTAATACCTTAAGATAACAATACTAGTAAAATAAACTTACAGGTCCAGCACTATCTTTCCACTTTCCTCAACAATAAAATGAACTGTGTCAGGGAAGGAGGTACATATTCTCTACCTTAGCCAATAATGGTTATGTTGTCCAAGCTATTTTATAATTTCCAACATAGATTGAGAGATTGTTGAGCAGCATCTTGCCAGATAAAGAAATACCAAAATCTAGTGGTAAAGTTGCCTGACACTGGGTAACCTCCAGGAGAGCGCTGGGTTTTTTATTCCAATAATAATAATCAAATGTCTGGATAATTATATTTCTGAAAGGTGTATAATTATACTAACATCTTAAATCATTCTTATATAAGAAAAAAATGTAATATATCGCTACTGAAAAAAAATTTATTATACCCATATAATATACTGTAACTTATAAATAAACCAAGCACTAAGACAAGATCAAAAACAAAACAAAAAAAAAACATTCAGCGTCTTGCCTTATAAATCCTACATAGATTTCTTACAGCCATAAACAATATAATAACTGGCTGATTATCATGAATTTCCATGTGACGAACACACCAGCCAGTCTCCCCTTCTTTAAGACAATAATCTATTCAGAAATAATAAGATCGGAGCTAAATCCAGGGCTATCTGTGTTGGTAAATTAGCTTTTCTCTAGATAAAGTATGATTTATTTGTATTTTTTAGTTCCCCCCAAGGTAGAGGAATAAGGGGGATAACCATTTTTAAAGCAGTTAGTTTGCAGGCTTGAAATAACACTTGAATAATAGGGACATATGCATTTTCTGGTAAAGTAGCTTCGTGCAACATGTTCAATAATCATATCCCTGGATCTTCTGCTAAAGTAACCTAAAAAAATTCATCTTATAGTAAGCAGGACCCCTTTCCAATCTCTATGAAGTTTAGGACATCTACACATCATGTGGATCAGAGAGGCAGGGTCAAGAGGTGGGGATTACTTAGAGAAGTAAGGTCCAGGGCCAGGCCAAGGATGGGGCAGAAGGGACAAGTGCCCTGGGTGCAGGGTTATGTCAGGGAAAAGGAGTGCACTGGAGCTAGCAGCTGCTTCAATGGCTGCTGGAGGGAGGAGTCCATGGAGCAAGGTGGTGATTGCTGCAGCCTTTTGCCAACAAGTGGAGGAGACACAAAAGCAATAATGTGTGTGCAATCAATGCCCCCTCTGCATTTCAGGCCTCTGCAGCCAGCTATATGAGTCCTATGGAGGGACAAAGCTGCAGGGAGCCTAGTGGCAGCATTCTTGGACGTTGATAACAGCATGGAGGAACTGAGCTGAGCCTCTGCCCTCTATTACTGTCACTGGAAGGAGAGAGGAAACCGCTTCACTGTTCTACAGCTGTTTATTATGTGGGTGACGTTATTGCAGCAGAGGAACGGCTACATCAAATTGACTGATAGTATGTGTTTTGAGGGGGGCTTGGATTGCAAGGAGGGGGTGTGGCAGAGAAATGTATTACACAGAGATAAGGAAAATAAAGACCATGGGAATCCATTTACACCAGCTGTGGTGGGACTGTGTTGGGCGGCGCAGTCCACTGTGTCCAGAGCAGTCCCACTGAACCTCCATTGCAAGACCAAGCAAATGTCTTGTCTCCGGAGTGGCCGATTCATACAGCTGCATTGAGGTGATGTGTGCTGAAAAAAGTACAGTGTTTCCGGAGCAGCATGGGCCAATGAGTGCCAACCGATCAAATTCTATGAAATGTCAGTGTGACATTTCAATAAAGTTTGTTTAAAAGAGAAAAGAGTGAACAGTGTTGTAGCCGGTATGCGCTAGTCTGGCTGGACTGCACCGCACACCACTTCCTGCTTTGCAGTGCAGCGGCTGCTGTGAACTGCATCTCAACAAGAATTGCTCTTTTATTACTAATATAAGTTAACAATGGCTGACTTAAAGAAGCCTGACACAAAACAGGGAAGTTGACATTGCTGAGGTTTTATTCTGAAAATGCTAGTTGCTTGGTTGTTATGCTGACTGCATTGTTTCTGATTCAATGGAAGTATACAGATTGGGGCATCTGAATTTTCAGTCTTTCCTGATGTGCATGTTCTGGTCAGATGTTCAGAAAATATTAAAGATATAGTCAGCATAGCAGCCAGATAACTAGTATTTCCAGTAAGAGCTTGTCAGTAAAAGGGCTCATGGTTTTTTAATCAGAACCAACACTCCTAGCACACACATATGGCTATGCTAAGGTGGAGGGGTATTAGATAAAGTGTGGTCGCAGGTTGGACACCCCTGATCTAGATGCTTATACGTGGCAGAATTTGATTTGTTGGAATCTCATCTGTTCATAAAACTGTACAATTTCTTGATACAGTTTTGTACCAACAGGGTCTTTTTATATTTAAAGTGCAGAAAATACCTGTTGATCTAGCCAGAAATGCAGTGTTGTCACTTCCTGTGAGAGGAGAAAGCACAAACATCCCTATCATTCTTGTGTGAATTACTAGTCCCATCAATCCACCATGTAAATGAATTGAACAAATCCAGACAAATTTGAAGTCCAGCCTGTTTTGACACCCCTTGCAGCCCCCACAGATACAGTTAAGAAGTGAGTGTCAACACAAAGGGACACAAAGTGTGTTTTTTTAACAGGGTTCCCAAGTGAGAATAAAGGGAAAAGGGTCTGAACAAAAATGAATACCGACATCTCATCTTAACACTGGCAAGCTGCAATATATCACATTTTGGTTTTTGGATTCCAGTACAACACACACACACACACACACTTTTTCTTTTGGGAGGGAGCAGGTACCTAGTTTAGACAGGTACCCACTCCCACTTCCGCTCGGATCGCCTTTTCTTTCACCCCCTCCCTCCCCACAGTCTTCTGGGACATGTCACGGGTCCCAGGAGACTGCAGGACCATTCATAAAGTTCAGCACAGCTCACCCATGCGAAACCGAAAGCAGCATAGCTGGTTTCCTACAGTTATACCAGGGCACCCAAAAGCTAGTGAAGAACTGATCTGGTGAGGATGGCGTTGACTCACTGGACCAGGTAAGTGTCCTTTTCTTAAAAGTCAGCAGCTACAGTGTGTGTTGCAGCTTTTTTTTCCCCCAGAGTGTACATCCGCTTTAATGACATACATGCATATGGTGAAGGAAAATTTAGTGTTATCACTGAATATTTTTGTGCAGTTACAAAACTGCTTCTTGGTGATTTGTTCTTGAATACCATGTAGTGGCTTCCCTACCTCTACTGTATATGTAAAGTACTGAGTTTTGGAGCATGTGATGTAATAGGTTCCTTGAAGAGTGATAATGGTAGAAGCATGCCTCACATGAAAGTGTGTAAAACAGTGAAGCTTTGAAGGCCATGCATTGTGTAAGCTTGATCTTCTGTAATGTAGTGTCCTGCATATATGATATCCATTGTGACTTGGCACTGTTTATTTTCAGAATTATCCCATTTTGTACTGAATACGGCAGCTGTATATGATTATATCCAATACATGCTGTTTTATTCCCCACTAAATATATTTCAGACGCCTGTGATTTATGTATCAAAAATAAATGCCATGTGTTAGCATTTTCCCTATGAATCTGAATGACATTTTTTCAGAAATGTACTGTATCATCTATATCTACATGCTGAAACACATCTGATGACAAGTTATGTGGTAATGCGCACACCAGTGGTCAGACCTAGAACTGGTATTAGTTAAGATGCAACACAGAGGAGTCTTAACAATTTCTTGTCTCAGGGTGTTGGTTCACAATAAGGCTTCATATGTTACTCTGTACATATACTGTATAGATGGATGTACATTGTATTCCCTGGAGAAAATAAATTGAATGATATATGATTTCAGTGCCTATCAACACATTTCAGATAAGTTTTTTTCATACAAATATTTCCAAGATTCTGCACCAGTATAATAAAGAATACCATTTCATATTGTTAGACTAACATAGTTAGTTTATTCTTCTTCCACTGGTATACACATGTTGAAAATGAAGCTATTCTTAATATTTATTTTATGAACCTATTTCAGTATCCGTTTGCTGTGCTTTGTTTTCTAGCATTCAGAATGATTCCTTATCCACTGGAAAAAGGTCACCTTTTCTATCCATACCCCATCTGTACAGAGACTGCAGACAGAGAATTACTTCCATGTAAGTACCATTCAATATACACATGTATAAGGATGACATTGACAATGCACAGTGTTCAGCTATATATATGGATAATTATTCTAGCGTTCTAGAAAGAAAATGTGAGTGGCTCAGTAGAGACTCCATATGTGAAATTCACGGGTGCTGGTCCTGAAAGAAAGTGAATCTCTGCACTCCAGGCTGCAGCAAGTTTTTTGTTTATTTGTTTTTTTTTAAGCAGGGGTCACTTCTGATTTGCCCCTGCTGGTGGCTAAAATCCCCTAACTCCAGGAGCAACTCAATTATTAGTCTAGTGTCTCCTGGAAATCCTGTAAGTTGTTAGCTGACACTTCTGTAATATCTGACTGCTTATTGCCCTAGGTTATGTAACAGTTTCTGGATCCGTAACCCTTTGTCTTCACCTTGGGGGACTGTACCCGGACCCTACTGTTTGGGGCCAGCTTATAATGTTTGCCTTGGACACTGCAATCTTGCATTACATGTTCACCTTGGCATCTTGTTGCAGCATGTATGGTTAGCTAAAGCATGCTATACTGGTCCAGGGCCATGGTCTATCTCTATGGTTCCCAAACCCTGAAAATCTCCTTTGGGGTATACCCACCATGACGAGTGAAGCCTAGACCTCTAATGTGCCAAGCGATATGGATAAGGTATGACTGGATTTGCCTGTTTTTTCAGTTGTTCCTAGCTATAGACAACATACAGTGCTTTGCCTACAAGTGGCTATGTAGGCACAAGAATGGCAAGTTATTTACTTTTTTGTGTTACTTCTCATTGTACTTGTCTCTAATGCTTGTGGCAATGTAAGTAACTTTTGCTTGATTTTTAATTTGATGTTCTTTTCCCATCTAAATGTAGTCTCAACACGCCTCCTGGCTGATATAGATCTTGTTGGTATAACTGAAAGCATGAAAACCATGTTTGTTGCACCTTCTGCTACAAAGTCATAGCCAAGGAACATGGTCAATGCCTGGGTTATAGCAGCTCTTCTGGACATGCAACATGCCAACCTCATACCTTCCACATCCATTCTGTTAGTACTCCACTGGGCATCCATTCACATAGCAATGGCAGCTGGCCTACAGGATGCTCAAAACTCAACCCCCACCCCTCCCAAATTTAAGATGAAAGCTGTTCCCTTGTCCTGGAGCAATATCCTGTTATGTCACTGCCCCCTTCCTCTGACTTTAGCTCCCTCTCAGGAGCACAATATACAGCCTGGCTGACAAAAGCAGATTTTACTGCTACCATGTATGAATTCTTTCAGCAATCCTAGAACCTTGTTTTCTAAGGGCCAAAAATACTACACATATCCTCTACTCCCTATTACTGTTCCTTCAACCTCTTTGAGGATGAAACGGTCTAAAGCAATAGGGGTGCATTTACAGTAGCGGAAGCTGAACAGGATTTTTCAACACCTGCATTTTATGAGCCACAAGCTATGGCTCTTCGACAAATACTCTTCACGGTTTATGGACTGATTGGTTTGGTGGGAACTAGCCTTTGCATAGCAGCACAGCTTCCGCTGATTTTTCTCTATGGGCACTAAGAGGCTTGCAAAATCAAATAAGACATTTCTTATCCATGCACAAATGGAACATGCATTATATGAGGATTGGTGTAATTCTGAAAGAACATTCACTCCTCCTAAGATTTTTGCTGAAATATACCTTATGGAAAAGGAATTTCAAAAAATATGGGCTGTCCTAATGGTAGATCCTGCCCTTTCAGTCCTCAATAAACACCTTACAGTTCCATTTGTGAATGCTCTATATTTTAAAGAGTCTATAGAATGGCATTTGGAAGCTCTCTTAAAAAACCTCCTGTGCACTTTCAGGTCCAGCCCTACAGCTGGCAATTGCAACTGTGTCCATTTGCCAGATTACTGTTAACTGAACAAAACAGATGAATAGAAAATATGGGGGGGGAACGATTCACAGATTTTTATTTGAACCTTTTGACAGTCCACAAAACCAAATGGGGGCTTGTGCCCCATTCTAGACTTAAATTCTCTAAACAGGTATCTTCATATCCCAAATTCTGGATGGAATTGGTGTTCACAGTGGTACTTGCATCTCTTTTTTTCTCTATTGCGGACCCAGAGTATTCATGTCACGTGGTACTTGGACAACCACCTACTGAAGGATTTCTCCACCAAGACATTATTTGGAAGTGTCCAGAGGATTATGCAGTTCTTTCCAAATTATCTTATCCAGCCCTCGCACCATCTGAAGTACATGAGTCTAATCTTGGACACAGGCCAAGCTAGAATTTTCCTTTCACCGGAAAAAGATTACCTCTTTAAGGTCTCGCACGTGGGCCCTCAGATCCAAAAGGCATCTCTCCTTCAAGGTAGTCCCCTTTGCCCTGTTGCCTATTCCAGAAAACTCAACATCTTCACGTCATACAACAAAATGATCCACTCTCTGAAACATCCTATACATCTATCCAGCCATAAAATCCTCCCTGTGGCATGATAGATTTCCATTTATGCCCTGGAGTCTGCAAAATCATTCTTTCTTATGCCCTGGAAGGTGGTGACAACAGATGCCTGTCTTACTAGTTGCTGGGGAGTTAACTTCTTGACAACTGTCAATGGGACCTAGTTTTTAGTAGAGGCAGGACTACCCATCAACATTCGTATACTGAGAGAGATATTGAATAATCTCTACAACACTGGAACCCTCTTCTGCAAGGTCACCCAGTCAGGGTGCAGTAGGACAGTGCCTACATAAATCATCAGGGGGGCACCAGAAGTGAAGCTACTTTAATAGAAACAAAATTGTCCTCTCCTGGGTGGAAATTCACTTTCCATCTACTTTCTGTCATCCACATCCCTGGCATGGATAGTTGGCAGGTAGACTTCCTAAGCTACCAATGCATAGACCTGGGGGAATGGTCTCTGCACCCCAAGATCTTCCAGAATGTCTGTCAACAGTGGGGGAAACCAGATGGTGGAGATCCTGGCCTCCAGGTTCAACAAACAACTACACAGATATGTTACCATGACCAGGGATCCTCTAACCTTTGCAGTAGATTCCTTGGACTTTATTCAGGCTTATTTACACCTTCCCACCAATAAATACTCTCCCTTGACTGCTATGCAAAATAGATGCAGAAAGGGTCCCAGTGATCCTTATAGCAAGCAACTTAGCCAAGAATAATTGTGGAACACAGACATACTCGGATTCCTGGTGGATGAACCTTGGCCTGTTCCAAACAGACTAGATTTGCTGATGCAAGGCCCCTTATTTTACGCTGTTTCTCAGTCTCTTTAGTGGCATGGCTGTTGAAACCTAGGTCCTGAAGGATAGGGGTATATCTGATTCAGTCATTTCTACCTTACAGACATCTGAGTCTCAGGGAATACTCTGTTGTTTGCTTCTTGGCCTTTTTCCAAGCTAGTCTTGATCAGCGTACCCTTAACCTCCCTAGCGGTATGATTATTTCAGATTTTTGGTGCTGAAAGCTGTACCATTATTTTGCATGGAAATATGTATTTATTGTAGGCTTTAATTTTTAGGAATAACTCACTGAAATCTGTCTGAACAAGATTCTAAATCATACATTTAATTCAGTAATATAATCAAACCAAAAACACTGAAATTTGAAATATAGCGCCAAGTTCGCACATCGCTGAGCAAAGTCGCAAAATTGTTTTCAGTATCTGATGACGAATTTCTCCACGAATCATCACTCAATTCTGCAAGTGGTTCTGATTTACTATCGCTGTTCTCTAGCTGATCTAAACCCGCTTTTGACCTAAAGGGACACTTTTTGGACGCCATGGACTTTTCTAAGTTTCCAGGCAGAAAGAACAATCAAAATGCAGACAGGGGACAGGACAGAGCACTAGGAACAAAATGTATGTGAAATGGGTTGAAACAGCAATGTTTTACTATGTAAAATCGTTTTGAAAAAAATGACATTTTTTTAAAATTTTCAAATTTCCCGCCGCCGACGGTGCCCGTACGTCCCGACGTCACAGGGACCGGAACATAGGAGGCGGATGCCGGCATCCGCCGGAGGAGATGGCCGGGGACACTGCAGGGGACACATCGTGGGAGCCAAGGACAAGGTAAGTGCTGCAGGGACTCCCTATGCAGCGCCGCATGGTAAGCCCGAGTGTAGCTCGGGGTTACCGCTTTTGGTACAGACATTTTACCCCGAGCTACACTCGGGAATACCGTTAGGGAGGTTAAGGGACAGGTTTCTGCCTTACCTTTACAATAATTAAGATGTTTCTTCAAGAAATAGCTTATATAGCCCCACTGAATTTGACCTCTTGTGTCACCCTGGGATCTGAACCTGGTGCTCTCTGTACTACAGAGACCCCTCTTTGAGTCAGTTCCCCTCAGGAGACCTTCTTAGTGGCTAATATGCCTTTGGAAGGTGACTTTTTGAGCTAGCAGCCAGCCTTTCTTGTAAGGAACGTTTTTGGTTTTGCTTAGGAACTTCAGACAGAGACCTTCTTTTCTACCCAAGGCAGTATCCACTTTCCACCCCTCTGTCCCACTCCAAAAAACGCCAAGGAGATTTGTCTAGGTCATAGCTCTCAGTGTCTACCTGGCAGTCATGGATTCTATTGCAAATCTAATTTTTTTTTTCCTCCTGACATGCTTTTGTAGAGGACATCCTGGCTCTTGCTCCACCATTGCCAGGTGGATCAGACAACTTATTTCCAGGGCCTGTGCCCTTAGGGAAAGAGTTCTTCCTTTTCCGATCAGAGCTCATTCCACCAGATCTTTTTGTGTCTCTTGTGCTTTCCAGCATTGTATCCCATATTGGCAAGGCTGCCACCTGGTTCTCTGTTCACACATTCTCCAGGTTTTACTAGGTGGGTGTTAGGGCTTCAGCTGATGCAAGCTTTGGTGCTTCAATCTGTAATCTTAATATTTTTGGGGATTTTGTAAGGCCCCTTTTCACACAAAGGGTCTGATCAGGTCCGCCTATCATTTTTTCAGGTGGACCTGATCTGACCATTCACCTCTGTGGACTAACGGGTGTAAATGGACTTGCTGATCTGCTGAAAAAAAAGGGAAAGAAAAAAACTAAGCAGAGTCCGTTTACATGTGCTGGTACTTAGAGCATCTGCCTGCTCTGATCCACAGGGGATCAGCAGACAGATGCCCTGCTGATCATAACGGAGTCCATCCCATTTGAAAGGGCCTAACTCTTGCACTTTGTTAGCCTGTTGGCAGTTCTGTTTGCTATATTGTTGACACCTCTCAGCTTATTGCTTGGAACATTCCATGGTTTATGAATAAAAGCCCTGTGTCCTGTACTTCGCGATTAAGATAAGGAATTTACAGGTAAGTGAAAATTCCCTTTATATTGGAATACAGACCCTTCCCTCTGTTCCTGTGGTCATTCCTTAGTGATTGCTACAAACTTGAGTCTCACAGACTGTGCAGGATTATATGGGCATGCACTAAGGGTGGTCCTAGCAAAGCTTATGACCGTGTCCGGTCACCTGGAAGGTAGCCTGCGTAAAACCCATGATCTATACAAGCCTTGTGTCCTGTATGGTTTGCCAATTAATTAGCTTTGTCTTAATATTTTTTTTTAATCATCATTACAAACTTTATGTGCAAAATATTAAAGCGATGCAGTGAAATATTTAAAGTCATTGTAAACCCTCACCTTGTAAAACAACCCGTCAGATTAAAATAGAAATGAAAGCCAAAACGTGTGTATATTCATAAAAACATTATAAATACCCTTTTCCACCACTTTTTTTTTATAAGTTATTCCATTTTCTCTGTTCTCAGCTGCATAAGAGCTAGGGGAGGAGAAACAGCAGCACACTGATCTTCACAGTGAATAGCTTTGCAGAGACAATGTGTTAGGACAAGTCTGATCAATGGGGTAGAGCACACTGAGTTCCCAGCACAGCTAGAGAACTGACCATGGTGTGCTCTCCTGGTCAGTTTGTAATATGAAAGCAGAGGGACTGGCAGGAACACCAGGGATTTCACACAAAGGAAGCAATACAAAGAGAACAGGATACTTTTTCATTCAAGTACGTGGTACAGCAGGCACATAAAAGGAATATTAAATGCTGGGTTTAAATTTTCTTTAAAACCGTAAAGTAAGCCTCAAGTGTGAATGGACACCAGTAGGAAGAGCTTTCTCTGAGAGTCATCATGATTCAGGTGGTTTACATAAGGGTGGAGCCTAGACATGCCCTCATCCCTATCAGTGGTTCCTGCACTGCATTGTGGGATACAGCAAGCATGTCAAAGTGTCCACTATTAAAATAGCCTACATTATCATACACATTTGTGTGTGGGGTAGAATATGAAATGTCGAAAACACAAGTGATGGACTATGCACATCACGTTCCTTTCCTCTTTCAAACATTCTGTGTTTTTAGAGCATTGACTAGGTAATATTAGGTGCGATATCCTACCAGAAATGTTTGCCTCACATCACACTGCTCAAGTTCCAAACAGTTATTGCTTTTGAATGATATTTTAATTTATTAAAAAACGTAACCCTCTAAATCCTTCTTTGTTTTAGCATTTCATGAAGTTTCAGTCTATCCAAAGAAAGAACTTCCTTTCTTCATACTCTTCACAGCGGGCCTATGCTCTTTCACAGCCATGCTGGCTCTTCTCACACATCAGTTCCCAGAGCTCATGGGAGTTTTTGCAAAAGCTGTAAGTATTTCTCACCTTGATGTTGGCGTACCACAATCTGTTATTATGTGTTTTTGGTTTATTTAAATTTAGTGCTTGGTGACATTTTGGTATGTTATATCACCTGCATACATAAAAGCATAATTTGTGGTTTAAGAATTCTCAACATTTGATTAAAGATTTTAAGAAGTAGTTTCCAGTGTGTCCTACTACATTTTGAATGTCACCCCAACACTCATCAGGTTTTTTTAGTGCATTAAGGCACCCTGCAAGCCCACTAAAATAATAGGAGTTGCCCTAATACACATGTGAATGAGGCAAAAAAAAAATAAAGGAACACTTTGAAAACACATCAGATCTCGATGGGGTAAAATATGGACTGGGCAATGTGTTAGGAACGTAAGGATGCCCCATCATTTGATGGAAATGAAAATTATCAACCTACAGAGGGCTGAATTCAAAGACACCCCGAAAATCAAAGTGAAAAAATAATGCAGCAGGCTAGTCCATTTTGCTGAGATTTCATTGCAGAAACTCAGAATGGTACTCTGTAGATTGTATGGCCCCCACATGCTTGTATGCATGCCTGACAATGTCAGGGCATTCTCCTAATGAAACGATGGATGGTGTTCTGGGGTAATTCCTCCCAGATCTGGACCAGGGCATCACTGAGCTCCTGGACAGTCTGATGTGCAACCTGGCAGTGTCGGATGTACCGAAACATGATTTCCTAGAGTTGTTCTATTGGATTTAGGTCAGGGAAGCGTGGGGGCCATTCAATGGTATCAATTCCTTCATCCTCCAGTAACTGCCTGCATACTCTCGCCACATGAGACCAGGCATTGTTGTGCACCAGGAGGAATCCAGGACCCACTGCACCAACGTAGGGTCTGAAAATGGGTCCAAGAATTTCGTTCCGAGACCTAATGGCAGTCAGGATGCCATTGTCTAGCCTGTAGAGGTATGTGCGTCCCTCCATGGATATGCCTCCCCAGACCATCACTGACCCACCACCAAAACGGTCATGCTGAACGATGTTACAGGCAGCAGACCACTCTCTACGGCTTCTCCAGATCCTTTCACGTCTGTCACATGTGCTCAGGGTGAACCTGCTTTCATCTGTGAAAAGCACAGGGCACCAGTGGCGGACCTGAAAATTCTGGTGTTCAATGGCAAATGCCAATTGAGCTCTATGGTGCCGGGCATTGAGCACAGAGCCCACTAGAGGACGTCGGACCCTCAGGCCACCCTCATGAAGTCTGTTTCTGATTGGTCAGAGACATTCACTCCAGTGGCCTGTTGATACTGATATGTTTTAGGAACGTAAGGATGCCCCATCGTTTGGAATTAAAATTATCACTCTATACACACACTGCTCAAAAAATACCCCAGGACACCGTCCATTGTCTCATTAGGAGCATGCCCCGACATTGTCAGGCATGCATACAAGCATGTGGGAGCCATACAAACTACAGAGTACCATTTTGGGTTGCTGCAATGAAATTTCAGCAAAATGGACTAGCCCGCTGCATCATTTTTTAACTTTGATTTTTGGGGTGTCTAAATTCAGTCCTCTGTAGGTTGATCATTTTCATTTCCAAACGATGGGGCATCCTTACATTCCTAACACATTACCCAGTCCATATCAGTATAGATATCCAGCATGATTTTTTTTTTTTTTTCTGTTAAAAACACATCAGATCTCAAAGTGTTCCTTTAATTTTTTTGAGGTGTGTGTGTGTATCATTGGTTCGAATCCCAACCGCAGCACCACTGGCCTGGAGTTTGCATGTTCTCCCCGTGTCTGTGTGGGTTTCCTCTGGGTACTCTAGTTTCCTTAACACTCCAAAGACATGCTGATAGGTTCATTGGATCCTGTCTAAATTGGCCCTAGTATGTGTATGGTATGTGTATCGCTTCTCGGCCTTTTGGCTAAGATCAAGTGTAGTATCTGTTCTTATCAGTGTCCAGTTGGGGTGCTCCCGGCCATTCTAGCTTTGTGGGGATGGCTGTTGTATAGTACCCCTGCTGGTATGATGGGGGTCTGGAAGGCTAGTACCGGGGGGACAGAAACCGGGATGCCCACACGTAGCTGGGACCTGGGAGTAATTCCCCCGAGGAGACCGGAAGGACCCAGTACCTCCTGATTTGGACGGATCTACCTTGTCTGGCCAGGGGTCGGGAAGGCAGAAAGTCCGCAAACCAGTGCCCCCTGAGTAGACGCCCTCAGGGGTGCCACTAGTAACACCTGGGTGTGGGACCCCACAGTGTGAAGATGGCACAAGGTCACTGTGTTTTCACTCTTTTTGCACAGGCCTTTTGGCTAGGACCAGGGCAATTTTTGCTACAGGCCTCAGGGTCTGGTCTGTGCACAATTTGGCACAGCCACTTTTTTATTTTCTATTTATTTAATTTATTACACCTCCCACGTTTTGTCACTTTTTCTTACTTATGTGTGTGTTTTCACAGGATGGAGGGTGTGGGTCCTCGGGCCTGCCCTGAAGTCTAGGGGGAGGATGTGTGGCCTTTTGGTTCCTTCCTCCCAATCCCTAGGGGGTTTTCTCTTTGGGAGAGCCCCCTGACCAAGTACTGGGTGTCCGGCTTCGGCTGGGCACAAGGAATGGTGGTCCACCAGGCCTTTTGGCCAGGAGGACCAAATGGGAACCTTGTTCCTGTCAGGAGCTTCGTGCCCCGGGGGATCAGGGTAGCGGTCCAGCCCCTTTTAGGGGTAGGACAAAAGCACACCCCTAAGTGCACTTTTTCATGTGGTGTTTTGCACTTGCACTTTTTTTGTGAACACTTACGGGTTTTTTCGTTATAGTTGTACGTTTGTGGACTTAAAAAAAAAAAAATGTGTATGTATGAATGTAAGTTAGGGACTTTAGATTGTACACCCCTGGAGGGTTAGGAACTGATGTGAATGTACAATATATATGTAAAGCGCTGTGTAAATTGACGGCGCTATATAGGTACCTTTTTAATAAATATATATATATTAGCATAGGTTGTTGAGACATGGATTCCACTAGACCTCTAAAAGTGTGCTGTGGTATCAGCCACCAAGCCATCATTAGCAGATTCTTCAAGTCCAATCCATAGAGACCCTTGCAACTTACAGAACTTATTTTTCGAGCACATCCCAAAAACGCTCAATTGGACTGATATCTGGATAATTCAGAGACCAAGTTAACACCTCAAACTCCCATTCTAAACCCATGTATGAACAATTTTTGCAGTGTGGCAGGGTGCATTATCTTGCTGAAAGAGGCCACTGCCATCAGGGAACACCATTTCCATAAAGGAGTGTACTTCGTTAGCAACAATGTTTAGGTAGGTGGTACATTATTATTATTATTATACAGTATTTATAAAGCGCCAATAGTTCGCTCAGTGCTGTACATTACAAAGGGGGACAGAACATGTGACAGAACAATACCAATACAATGTGATACACAAGGGGTTCGAGGGCCCTGCTCTTTCGAGCTTACAATCTAGGAGGGAGGGGATGGTGGCACAGGAGGAGATAGCTGTGGGGGATGGAGTGGTAGGATGAGTGGAGGAGGTCGGCAAGTTAGCAGGGGGTGGGGTAGGCTTCCCTGAAGAGATGGGTTTTCAGGGTGCGCCTAAAGGAGAGGAGAGTAGGTGATAATCTGATGGGTTGGGGCAGGGAGTTCCAGAGGATGGGTGACACCCTGGAGAAGTCCTGGAGGCGGGCATGGGAGGAGGAGACCAGGGAACTAGAGAGAAGGAGGTCTTGTGAGGAGCGGAGTGTGCGTGCTGGGCGGTACTTGGATATTAGGTCAGTGATGTAGTTCGGGGCAGTATGGTGGACAGCTTTGTACGTCAGCGTTAGGATTTTGAATTTGATCCGTTGCGCAATCGGAAGCCAGTGGAGGGATTGGCAGAGGGGGGTGGCGGAGACAGAGCGGTTGGAAAGGTGAATGAGTCTGGCAGCCGTATTCAGGATCGACTGAAGCGGGGATAGCCAGCGGCAAGGCAGGCCAGTGAGGAGGGAGTTGCAGTAGTCGAGTCGTGATATGATGAGAGAGTGGATGAGCTGTTTAGTGGTTTCTGGGGTTAGGAACGTGCGGATTTTGGCGATGTTGCGGAGGTGGAGTCTGCACGAGTTTGTTAAAGATTGGACTTGGGGCTGGAAGGATAGGTTGGAGTCCAGAATGACACCCAGTACTCTGGCCTGCAGGGCGGGTTTGATGGTAGCGTTGTTGGATGTGACGGAGAAATCAATGGGGGGTGGTGTCCGGGCTGGGGGGGGAAGACAAGAAACTCGGTTTTGGAGAGGTTTAATTTAAGGAAGTGGAGCGACATCCAGTCTGATATGTCGCTCAGTAGGTGTGCATGTCAAGTAACATCCACATAAATGGCAGGACCCAAAAACAGCATGATTTATCAGAGAAGACCACCTTCTTCCATTGCTCTGTGGTCCAGTTCTGATGTTCATGAGCCCATTGTAGGCACTTTTGGCTGTGGGTCAGCATAGGCACCTTCACTGGGCTGAGGTTACGCAGTCCCATATGCAACAAACTGCAATGGCAATTTTTTCTGCTTTCAACACATAAATTTCAGCACGGAAATTTATATTACTTGCTGGCTAATATAAAGACAATCAATATCATTCACTTAACTTGGTGGTCATAGAGTTATGGCGGATCGGTGTGTATGTGTTAGTGTGTTTGTACACAACTGGCCAGTCAGGTGCTTCTATCACACCCTTTTAAACCGGCTTTTTGCTTTGCTGTCACTGATAGCTTCTCACTGAGAACATCGTCTCCACTCCTCATCACAGCTTATCTCGTTTTAATAAATGTACATCTAAATAGGTTTACATATATCTGCAGCAATTTCAGATATTCAGGGGAGCAGTATATGTGTGTGACTGCATATAGGAGTATTTACAGGTGACTTCTGCAGCAATAGTACCATGTTAACTCTGCACTGTACAGAAGTCATAACTGTACCTGTTTTTCACATTGAAATTACTGAAGAAATAGGGGAGAGTAGGA